TCTGAAGTGCAGAATTTGGACGACACAGAGGATCAAACCTGCATCGCTATCTTAACAACTTTTTTGGTACTACGATAGCCCTCTAACGGAAACGAAGCATGGTTTCGTGGTGCGTACGTGCTCGCTACAATATGCAAGAAACCGTGTTGAGAAAGCGCTTTTTCCCCTGAAAAACCCACCTTGTAATCTGGTAGTTTCATTCAATAAAAATCGCAGTTTTGGAGTATTGTTTATTTTTACTCGTTTGTTGGATCAGAATACAGTAAACATTTATTCAAGGCCGTTTGAACATCGATATGTTCTACAAAGATGTTACTCCAAGTACGGCGATTGATACGATGCGCGCATTTACAAAAGGGCGGCACAGAAGTTCACCGCATCAAACTGTAAGTCTAGTGGTCTTCAGTTCACATCACGGAAGTAAAACTCATTATTACGTAAGCTATTTTTGACGCGTATGTTTCAGGTTACTCAGGGACCCATAATGAAAGTGCGTGAGAAGACAGAGAGGAGCGTGCCCATGTTCCCACATAGAAGAGAGCAGCACGATAATGAGATGGGTGAGTTGACCTCTTGCCCTTAGTTGTACCATTAGTTCACTGCTGAATTGCTTCTTCTTTCAGAGTCGAGCAGTCGGGGACTGTTGACGGCAAGTCGAGATTCGTTAGCGACTCCAACATCGCGATCACATTCCCGTGCCTCGGATTCGACGACCGATGAGAGACCCACTCGAATCCCCTCGCTTCGTCTTCAGAAAGGTTCTCGCAATAACACACCTAGGTCATGATCATGGACTAGTGCCTTCGTTTTTTCACTTCTTGGTTAAATTATGTTTTATCTGTTACCAGTACCAGGTTTTAATTATTTTTATTCCGGTATTTCATGTGATATATATGTGTCGAGTTATCTTCTGCCGGTTTCTTTGTTTTCGTTGTTTTATGGCTTTTATCTCAAGAAGAAGTGTCTCATTACGTTTTTATGTTCCTTTTTTTTGTTTGTTATTCAAAGTGCTCATTAATAAATTTCAACTAATACGATAATAATTAACGATTTCTGAACTTCGCTTAGTGGAGGATAAAAATTGTAATCGATACTTTAACGAGACATCAACGCGTAGGATGGCAAATAGGATCGATTCGGTGGACACTTAATGTCCTTTGGTGAAAGCTGTTTAAGCAAACAACCCCAGATAGGCGTGTCAAAAACCTACTGATGTACGTTGTCGCGGCTGGAAAGTGCGCGACAGTGTTGCTATGGCGCGACAAAATGATCAGGGACCGGGTGTATTAAGCCCCAACTAGGAAATGGGTCCCCATAACTCTTGCATCGCTGGACTCTTCCCCTATTCTAACC